TCCATACACGTAGAGTTGGTGCCAGCTATCACAGCTGGCACAAAATATCTCCATAAAGTAGATGAACAGTGGTCGGCTGCCCAAAAATGTCATTTCGACAAAAACGAGTGCCGACCGGCAACAAATTATGCCGACCGATAATAAAATGTGCCGACCGGCAATAAATAGTGCCGATGGCAGCAAAAAACCAGCCGGTGGCCTCTAGCCACTGCCGGTGGTGTGTGGGGATGCCTCACAAGGCATTCCCTTCCCCTCCAAGGCAAAACATAAGTGTTTGGTGTGAAACCAGACACTAGACTTCTGGGAACTCCAAACGAACACAAACATGGATAATCACCGAGTGTTCCAAGCGGTGACGTCCAAGTCTTGAGGATGGTCAAAAATAGGGTGTCTACAACTAGTCTCACCACTTAACCTTGAATCAAACATGGTTAGGAATGTCTTCAGGAAGACTAGAGGGGTCACACCGGTCCCACTTAAAACCCAGTTAACCTTAGACAAAATTTTCAAGAGAATGTTGACTCCTAGTCCTTGGGAAACAATTTTTAGAATTACGTTTTTTTAGGGGATAAACTAGGTTAACCAAGTTCCAAACTTGCATGCAATCAAAAAAATTGATAACAACAATTACAAGCAAATAAAATGCTCCAACCTTACAGGCAAACAAACTTGCTTAAATACTTAGATAATTAACCACTACTAAACACAAGCAAAAAATTACTTCAAATATAAAGAAATATAAACCAATCCAAATAGGATTCTTATTGGTTCAAAAATCTCTTTCCAGTCTTAGGTATCTATGTTCAACAAAAAGGTTAGTAGCCCAAATTTTTATTGGATTTGGATCTTTTTTTTTCCCCATTCCCTTTCACATATGTATTTCTGTAAAGAATGTTAGCAGAGAAACATAGCAAATGATTAAAAGAAACTACAAAAGTAACAAATGTATTTAACCCTTCTAGCAATATAATGAATAGCAAAATTAAGTAAAAATTAAAATGCTATACAAGCTAGAAAAATAAACCTTAAAACTCCACAATTGAATTTGAAATTTAACTTACACAATAAACATGTAAATAAATATAGAGAAGTTCCAAAACCTTTATAACTCCAAATACTTAAATTAAAATTTTAATAGGCAAGAGTTATATGAAATTTTTACTAAAACAATAACCATGTAATAAAATGTGAATGTTTCTAGCAATTAACATGTAAATTATTTTAGAAATAAGATCATGCAAATAATTCTAGAAACGTAAACTAAAATCTAAAAAATTTAGAACATGTAAATTATCCTACAAATCTAGGATCTAGTAAGCATGTGAAGTAAACTAGAATGTAAAAATATTGAACATGTTGATTATACTAGAAACTAGAAAATAATTAGCATGCCAATATTAACTAAAAAATTTAAACACTCATGAGCATTCAAATTATATTATAAAATTATAAAATAAAATGACATACAAATCATGGTAGGAAATTATGAATCATACTCATAAAATAAAATTATACTAGCACCAAATAAGTATGCAAATTATGCAAAATTCTAGAAAATTAAAAGGAATGAAAATTTTATTTATTCACTGAAATAAATTAAAATAGTAGAAATAAATTAATTTCTAATCACAAATTTCATGCAATGAAAAAAAAATTGGTTTTTTTTATTTTTTATTTTTAAATTTTATTTATTTATTTTTATTTTTATTTTTTTTTGGGCAAATAAACATGTACTTTATACAAAAACACAAACCGGAAGCAAACAAACATGAAACGAGTAATTATTTTCTCCCCCTTTATGAATAATAGTAGCCTTCTATATGCTATAGGTAGTCTACTGGAATAACAAAAGCACTAGTATAAAAAATTAATAAGTCAGAACATCTCATGTGCAATATTCAAATGGAAAAATGCTTAATCATGATCTTTTAAGTTAATGGGAAAGAATACTGTTTCGGTTTTAGGAAAGCATAACAAGCAGGTTATTTTAATTTTTTTTTTTTAAATCACTTAGGAGAAACCAATTTCCAGAATAACATATAATAATTCAAAATTATTAACTGAAGCAGCGAACGCTCCTATATTGCATATGCATTTATTTATCCAATTTCATGGAAAATATAGAATCTTTTTTCAGGTTATTGTACAAATTATGTGTAATTAAACAAAAAAATAAATTCATATTTAGGGTGTGTTTGGTAACGTTTTTGTTTTCAGTTTATATTTAAAAAAAATTTATAAACTGATTTTTATTTTATTTTTTTATTTTTAGAAAAACATGAATTACAAACACGTTTGGTAATTGACAAAATGTTTAAAAAATTTTAAAAATATAAAAAAGAGTGAGAAATGGTAAGTGGTGGCGGAAGACGGTGGTGGAAAGTGGTGACGGTGGGCGGTGGGTAGCTGGTGGTGGGTGATGGTAGCAGGTGGGTGGGTAATGGTGGCGGGTGGTAGCGAGTGGGTGGTGGTGGTGGTGGCGGTGGCGGTGGCGGTGGCAGGTGATGGGTGGTGGTGGCAGGTGGGTAGCGAATAGCTGGTAGTGGGTGATGATGGTGGGTGGGTGACGGTAACGGGTGGTAGGTGGTAGCGAGTGGGCGGTGGCGGTGGCGGTGGCGGGTGGTGGTGGCAGGTGGATGGCGGATGACGAGTGGTGGTGGGTGGTGGCGAGTAGGTTCACCTGTTGAGGTTGGGGTCGTAGCCGACGGAGAGGGATCCTGGTCAGGAGGAGTTGGAGGCAAGGAGGAAAGCGGAGGAGATGGAGGAACGAAGGGCGTTCGCCAAGGCGGATAAGTACAAGGAAACACAGTTGGGGCCCACGCCTAAACTGGTGATGATGGAGCAGGTCTGACCGCGGCCCAAATCGTTAGGAGACAAAGACTTAACAGACTTTGCCCCACTGCCGCTACCAGTAGACCGCTAAAGAAGAGGGGCAAGTAGGAGGTGGAAGCGGTGTTAAAGAAAACGAAGAAGAAGAGGGCGGCGGCAGAAGGAAGTAAGGGCGCCCCTGTTTTCAAGAAGATGAAGGAGGGCAGGGCGGAGGAGGCTCCAGAAGGGGAAAATGCCCAAGTACAAAACGGCGTCGTTTTGTCTCCTTGAATTATAGGTGACGAAAATATGTTATCTCTGAAAATTTTTATAGTGGTGACGAAAGTTTTCGTCTCTAATATGGGTGCCGAAATTTTCCACCAAATTTCTATGGGCGGGAATTTGTTTTGTGACGAAAAATAAAATTTAGCGATGAAAAAAAATTTCGTCACCTATTATTTTATTTATTTTATGCATTTGGTGACGAAATTTTGTTTTCGTCTCTAAAAATAGTATAATTAGAGACGAAATCTTATTTTCATCACTAAAACATGTATATTTGGAGACGAAATATTTTTTCGTCATGAGTTTTCGTCACCATAGACCTTTTTTGTTGTAGTGTAAACAGAAATACATATGAAACAGAAATATTGAAAGACAATGCATCAAATCGAGGCCTGTATTGTACCACAGTCTCCTTAAAACAGATTTGTCGTCTTACCATTGGTGCTGGAGCTATGTCGGCGTCTGTCTCCCAAGATACGACGGGTTAAACCCGCTAACGTAGAAGCGCTTTTTGTTAACTTTGGCGAACCGACAATGGCAACACTCTCTCACACAAGAAGAAGATTACAGGAGCACATTGATTGTATAATGGAAGCCAAAAAATTCTATATTGACAACCAAAGAAGTTGGTCTCTATTTATGCACAATGGGGGAGAGAGGAGAAGTATCACAACCATGAATGCTAGCAACCAATGCAACCCATTACTCGTACACAATTTATGGGGTTCAATGTGTGAGATACACACAATATACACATGTTTGTATATACATATCCGTAGCCATTTAACAGACTTAACCCAAAAAGATTAGGTTGGTGAATCACTAATCCGGCCAAGCCCAAGCCTAAGCCTAAGATCTACGATCCACGGATCATAGACCTGGTCCAGGCGGGCGGGCGGGCAGGCATCGCGTGAATGGCAATTTTTGCATAATCAACTTGGACCATAGTTTTAACCCAAACCCATCATTGAAGTATCTATAAATCCCTTTCTTCAAAAAAATTGGATGCCCCAAAGAGCTCATGCCCTTATCAAAATCTTGAGGTTTAAATACTTATAAAAACTTTCTTCTATAATCAATGTAGGATTAATAGTTAAACACAATTTCCAATACCTTAATCATGAGGTCAATTTTATGAGATAATTTCTCATTCAATTCTTAATGACTTTTGGTTATTCTTTTTGTGATGTAAAAATCTTATTACAAATAATCTAAACTCATTTAATCTTATCTAAACCAATGGTTGAGACTACTTTAATCTCTCATTAAAATCACCATAAAACTATTTTTCCAACAAACACTACAACATATAAGAGTTTTAGAGATTAAATATTTTGGTATTTAAAAGTGAAAATTTTGTTGCAAAAGACATTTAGGGACCAATTTCTATCATTGTGAGAATAATCGTTAAAAAGTCGTTCTGAAAAGTCAAAAATAAAACTTTTAACAACAAAAATTTGAAAATGTCACTAATAAATAAACTTTAAGGGACAAAATAATTTGGTCTCAAAATTGTTTATTTTTTGAGACAAAAAATTTGGTCCCAAATAGATAATAATTCATCACTAATTCCCAATTTTTATTGCTAAAAATATAATAATGACATTTTTCGTAATAAAAATATTTGATCCTTAAAAAATAATTTTGTTCTTAAATTTTAGTTCCCAAAACCTTAATTTTTTGTAGTGAAATTCTAATCTAATTAGATGGTTACCGACATAGGTTTGATTATGCAGAGCATATTGGACCACAAAGATCATACAGTGGAAACATAATTTTAGTTTCAAACATCTTCTAAGTGTGGTGCTGGTCCACCAGGGCAAGGTGTGAATGTATGGGTTTGGTTGTTGGTTGCAGTTGTACACAAGCACAGTAACCACAAGCAATACTTTTTATAAAAAATAAAAATTCCTAATCCCTGGTGGAGACCATTTTTTAAAATTCTTATCACGTCAACTTTGTTTTTGTAGAGAGAGAGAGACTCTGCAGGGAATCCTAGCATCTGACGGCCATTGAAGATCTCAAACCCTAACAAACGTATCTCTTTCTTTATCACAGTCAATATTCATATTCGTACACAAAAACACTAAAGAAATTAAGCTTAAATTGAAGGTAGAGCAGCCTTTGTTCAATGTTTCCTTTAAGGCAAAGCAATGAGCTGGTATTTCATCATACCCCTTCTATTCCCTGCAAACAACACACAATCCATGAAGATCCAATCGCGGGTTTCACTGTAGTAGAGGGCAGTAATCTAACAACCAACACCACCATAGAAGAAAGGCCGTGTAAATTGTTGGATGGGAATACGAATGGTAAGAAGGACAAAACAATTATGCACAGAGACATCGAGCGCCTAAGAAGGCAAGAAATGGCTACCCTTCATGCATCGCTTCGATCTCTTCTCCCTCTTGAATATATCAAGGTGAAAGAAATTGTATTTTCTTTTCTTTTCTTTTCTCATGTCTTTGTTTGTTTAGTGAAATTTCACTAGCCACATAATTTCCCCAAGAAATAAGGGAAGAATTATGTAAAACCTAAAATGGTGGCTGCAATTACTTCTCAGTTCTCTTTCCTTCTTGAAAAGAAAAAGTTTCTCTCTCTGTCTCTCTCTCTCTCTCTCAAAATTAAGTTCCATATATAGAGTGTGCATAATTGACTACTTACGGCTTTGGGGTTCTGTTGATGGTTTTTTAGGGAAAGCGTTCGATATCAGATCACATCCATGAGTCGGTGAATTATATAAAACACCTGCAGAAGAAAATCAAAGAAATGGAAATCAAGAGAGACAAGTTGAAAAAATTGTCTGATTCAAGTGTGCCGGCCACAGCAATTGGAAGCTCTAAGAATTGCTTTCCCAATAGCACTGTGACAGTGAACCCATGCTTGGTTGGTGTGGAGATTTTGATTAGTAGCTCTGGAGAGGAAGGGTTAGCATTTCCCCTATCAAAAGTGATGGGAGTACTGGTTGAAGAAGGGCTTAATGTTGTTAGCTATGTTTCTACTCAAGTAAATGAAAGACTGTTTCACTCAATTAAGTCTGAGGTACTCACTAGTTAACCTTAATTAGTCCTGGGTTTAGGGTTTCATTTAAATTCTGAAATTGCTGCATGTCTTGAATTATCCTTGCAGGTAACTGATCAAATGTGTGTTGATCCATCGGTGCTGCAAAAGAATCTGTCCGTTGTGATTAACAGCGAGCTGTGACTAATCTCCAGTAACTACTTTGTGTTTAGTAACAACTTAGTGCTGTCATTGTCTGACACTTTGCTTTGAACACTGAAATTTGAGTTTTGTTTGTATGAAACCTGGCATGCAATGTTTGAATTGTTGCAGGTTCCATTTTTTGACAAACTCCATTGGAAAGTGAAAATGTTTGATGTAATTTGGAAAACCATTTTTGTGGTTAATATTTCAGTGAACGTAGACTAAAAGAAGAAAACAAAAAACCTTGTCTTTGAGTAAATTGAAGTGGAGTATTTATGGAAAAGTTGCAGATGTTGGAAAATAATAGTTTTTCGGTAATTTTTATTTAAAATTAAAGTGAGACTCAACCGCTAGTTGAAGTGGATTTGAGCGGTTTTGTATACTCTTAAGTGAGAAGATTGCAATACAAAAATAATTAGCCGAAACCATTGAATTGTGAATGAGAATTGTCTCATAAAGTAGGCATTAATAAAGTTGGGTTTAGATTTAGACTTAATCTTGGTTTGGACTAGATCTAGACTTGTACTTGTGCATGTGCTGGGTTTGGTCTTAGACTTGAACTTGGACCTAGTCTTAAGCTTTGAGCTAAACCGTGTTGGGCTTAGTTTGTGCACGTGTTTAAGATTGGACTTGGATCGGATTGTGACCCAGCACCCGTATCCATTTTGCAACACATCTAGTTTAATTCTCAATACTTATGCATTATATATATATATATATATTATGATTTATATAATGGTTTTGGAGTTTTGAACCTTTTTAACTCTGGCCGTAGTGGCTATAGTTGATGATATTTGATGATCCCATTGATGTTAGCCTTCATGGCCAAGACTCTCCCCTACTTGTACAAATAGAGGTCTTTTTCCTCCAACTTGAGGAGATAATTTTTTGAGAGGTTTTTTTTATGGAAAATGGAGACGGTGATTTGAGATAAAAAGTTGGAGATTTTTTTCCACCAAAGAAAAATTTTCATATCTTCTTTTGTTAGCATCTTCTTTAGTTCTTGTTAGAGAGAATGCAATCATTGTCAAGTTCACCGAAACTTTCCAAAATGTATTTCTGTAGTAGTTAGTTTTGACTGTCGTATCTTGTGAGATAGACGTCGGCGTACCTCCAGCACCCACCGAGAGGCAGTGAATCTGTATTAAGAAAGTTGTAGTATTACATAGGTTTCGGTTTACATCATTTATCTTTTGTTCTTCAAAGTTTTAAATTTAAATAATTTCTAGTATATTATTTTATATGTTCATTTGAATACATCTTGTACTATGTTCGACGGTGTAGTCTAGTTCATTCTTGTGTTGTTTTTAGTTCGATGGTTTATTGTATATTTCATTCTTTAATAGTAAAAATAATAATAATTTTTTTGTCAATTCTATTTAATTCATTTTATATATTTTTCTTATATTTTTATGAAAAAAATACCAACAATCTTAAAACAGATTCATTATAAATAGTTGTCAAAAAATAATTTTTTTTTATTTTAATTTATTCTAGTAACTCTTGGAATTAAAATTTATTTAATTGCCTAGAGTTATTGAATTGTTTTGAATTATTTATTTCTAATAATTTATTATTCAATTTATTTTATGGTAATTAGTTGTTATTACATGAGTTATTTGATTGTTAGTAGTTAAGTCGGTAGGAGTTTATAAAAATAAAAATTTATTATGTAAGATTCTTACAATTTTATTTGATTTGTTTGGTTGGTTTCTTTTGTAGCTAACTTTTTTTACAGGTTCACTAGAGCAAGAAATGATGACATATAATACGAACAAATAAAATAAATCGGAATTAGTACATTGGACTACTAATTTTTTATTTGAACATGATTACTTTTGTATGGAATGAGGAATAATATTGGACCTTCGGAATTTTAGTGAATTTAATTATTCACTTTATAGTTCAATTTAATTTTGGATTTATTCTGTATGTTGTTTTGAAAGTTTGGTAACAATTTCAATTTAATTTGATTAATTAAATTCTAAAAAAAATAAAGAGTTGGAATTTGAGAATGTCAAGAGATTCAGCTAGTTGAGAGGTTTTCAACGGTATAGAATATCTCTAAGCAGGTTTGTTGTGGGAGAAAATTTAGTAAAATAGTTTCGATTTTTCTATATAATGTTCTTATTCATGAGTTTGCTTATGATTATGTTGTATTATAAAGTGGATGGATACTAAGAGAGAATTAAAGCATGGTGGAATAATTTTGCATTATAATTCTATTAATTAATTGTTGTTTCGGTTGTGAGTTTTTCCATGTCTTGATGTGTATAATCAAGTGAATTACTTCAAATGTTATTGTGTATTGTTATAGTTTAACTCTATTGTTTATAAGTTTTTTTTGCTCATAGTTAGATGGTTGGAATGCCAATGTTATGATCATAATAGTCTTATATATGTAGTTATTTCATAGCCATGAAACTCATGACATTCTTGTAACTGCAATGCACCTATAACCTTTGAATTACACATTGTGAGTTACAACTGAAATTATTTGTGTAATATTCACTTTATTGGTTCATTAACTCATCTTGTATCCAAGAATGTATATGAACAGTGAGTATGAAGATTTAGCGCCTATGAGGATATAGTTTTGTAATGTGTTTATACAAAGAAAAACATTGCAAGTGGAGAAATATGGTTTTGGCTAAGCAGACGATTTTCAAATGCAACCATGAACTCCATTTTGCAGATTTAGACAATTTGTAATTGTAACAGTTGCATTTCCATTTCCAGTTGTAGTGATTTTTAATTTTTAATTTGTAATAGTTTCACCATAGTGAAAGGAAAGGGAGATGGAAAAAAATTATAAACCTTCTGGTTTAGAGAAAGTCTTTGGGATTAATTTTATTATTTTCAAAGTATTTTGGTTTTCTGTAATACAAATCAAAGTTTAGCCTTGGCTAAAGAATATTTCTGATTTGTTTAGAAATGGACATTAACATGGATTTGGTTTCAAACCTTTATAATTAAAGGAAGTCTTTGGATTTAATCTTTTTATTCCTAAAGTAGTAGGAAACCAAGTTTGAGAAAGTCTTTGGTTATAATTTGATTATTTCTAAAGTGTTTTGTTTCGGGAGAAAAAAAAAATAGTATTAGCTAAAATATTTCTGATTTTTTTGGCTCAGTATCAACAGTACCGATTAACTTTTATAAGTGGTATAATTCTGATAGCATTTTTAAATTGCTTATAAGTTTTGTAAACTGGGTTTGTTTTAACCTAGTTTATCTCCTGAAAAACTTAATTCTAAATTTGTTTCTCATAGACTAGGAGTCAACATGCTCTTGAAAGTTTTGTCTAAGGTTAACTAGGTCTTAAGTGGGACTAGTGTGACCCCCCTCCAGTCTTCCTGAAAACTTTCCTGACCATGTTCAATAGATCAGTTTTGAATCAACTTTCAGACTTTGAGATTTTATAGTGTTAAGTTTAGTTTCTGGAAAAATAGAATCGTGAAATTCTATTGTGATTTTTCAAAAATGGCTTCAACAGGTGACAATAGAAAATGTTGTTCCACTTGACAGCCTTAAGCCTTGCGAGGTTCTTAAAGGAAGATCTAGAGAGATCAAGTGTGATTAAAAGAAATCATAAGATTGCATGATAATATCTCTGAATTAATTAGAGGCAATTAGTATGTTATCCTTGCGTCAATTATAGCATGTATGATTGCTATGACTTCGCTTATGCTGTATTTGGTTAGGGGATTTAGAAAGGGATTTGGAAAGAGAAATGAAAAAGGTAGGTGAAATGTGAATAAAACATGCTTATATTTCACATAGTTTCACACACCTTTTCCATTACCCTTTCCAAATCCCTTCCCAAATCCCCCAACCAAACACAACATTAAGAGCAAAGATGGGACAATTCGTTAGGGTGGGTGAATATATTTTTGAATTTTTAAAAAGTTCCAAATATGTTTTTAAATTGGTGGCTCATAGTGAGTACAAGATCACTAATCACAAAGATACAAAACTGGCGGTTCCTAGGAGGTATTAGACCACTAGCTACACTATTATGAGATTGTGGTTCCTAGTAGTGAACAGATTACTAAGCACATGTCAATAAGTGATGGTTCCTAGTAGTGGAGAGGCAATTGATCACATGCCAAGGCATGATGATTTCTAGTAATAAAAGAGTTTGTTGATCCTATGTCAAGGCGTTGTGATTCCAAGTAGTAGAAAGTCTACTAACCATATGCTGAGAAATTAGTGATTCCTAGTGATAAGACTACTGGCCATGTTATGAATTTTCGAATAGTAGACTATTGAACATTGGATCTATGTTTTCTAATAGTAAGACTATTGACTTCAGAGTGACATGTTGGACCAAACTTGTTTTGGTGCCTTGAATTCGACAAAGACCTAATTCGGTTAATGACGGTCTGGGAATATGTTTTTAGGGATATGATTTTGAGAGTTTCGTAATCATTGTGACACATGGAATTGTTTAAAGACCCTGTATGAATTTTTGGAGAGGTCGGGAGCCTTTTTATAAATTCTACAAATGTGGGAGTGTCATGCAAAAGGTGGCAATACCAAAACCCAAGTGGTTAGGATAAGTCTTAAAATCCGTTGACTTTGTATTTAACGGTTATGCACAATATAGTAGTGCATATTGGGTTTTTTTGTGTGGACAAATCTAATATTCAGATTTACACAAGAATATTATCATGAAATTGAGAAAATGGTTTTTATGAGAAAAAAAAAGTCTAGAAGATGTTAATATGCTAGGACTTAAAAGTTCTTCTATCTAATTCTTCTTAAACCTCTATGGTGGCTAGTGAGGCTAAAAGTTTTTTTAAAGCTGTGATTTCTTTAGAAAATTTAGCTTTATCTTGCATAGGTAGTAAGACTTGGGATGCAAGTGAATGAAAGCTGAAGAGATAGACTTGTTATCAAAGGATACTAGCAAAGAGAAGGCCTGGATTACTTTGATGCGTGATCACTATTTCTAGTGAGTGTGATCGCAATTGTGCGACATCTAGAAATACATCAAGATGGATGTTCAGATAGCTTTCTTATATGAAGATTTAGTTGAATAAATCTTTAAGGTTTGAATAATTGAGAAGATATTTAATACTACCAGGTGGATGTTGTATTCTAAGTTTTGTATGAAAGATATGGGCCTTGCAGATGTGGTTCTGGGCATTAAGATTACTAGAACATTTGGTAGTATTATACTTTCTCAGTCTCATCATGTTGACAAAATACTTGTGAAATTTAGTAAATCAGATACAAGTGTGTCAAGGACACTGGTAGAAGCCTACATTTGGCCGAGAATAATAGTGAAAGTGTATTTCAACTAGTATATTCTCAGGTTATTGGAAGTTTTAGTATTTGATGAGTTGTACAAGGCCATGTATAGCCTACTCAGGTAGCAGGCATAGTAAATACACAAGTAATCCTAATGCTACTCATTGAAAGGACATTATGCAGGTGTTGGATTTTTACACTACACCAGGAATTATGGGTTGCATAACACTTGATATCTAGTTGCACTAGAAGGGTAGAAAGGCACCTACTGGATATCTGAT